GTTGTTGTTTCACAAATAAACGTTAGATAAAAGTTGAAATAAAATTAAACTGAGGAAAGTAGGAGGTGCAGACGAAAGCTTACGATAATCTGCCCGGGATAATAATTGTGTGACGTACGATAGATTTTGCGCTGTTATTTTGTTACGAGCATCTCGATATCCTGTCATTATAATGAGAATGAAGCAGTCTCCTAAAAAATGCCTGATACTTCTTTATACTTCTTTATACTTCTTTTATATATAGATTTCGTCTTCATCTATGAAGTACGTTGGATAATAAAAATATAAGAATCGCGTATTATTCGCGTATTACTTTACTTGGTATTAGATATCTCCCGCGGCGGTATCACGGTATATTGTGGTATTGAGTAACGAAAACATGACGGAAACCTTAGCTTTTTTAATGTGTTTAATGTGTATGGAATTCTTACTTGTTTGTAGACGATAATTATGTGTTACGTAACAAGACTGAAACGATACCGTACCTACTTCGTTACGCGTGTCTCGATAACTCATCATTACGATGAAAATGGAGGACGCGAGGGTATCTTTTACGTTGCCGTGTAAAACGGTATTATCGCGTTATCGTATAACACGAGTGGCAAGAGATTGGAAAATGACGGTAACGAGGGAATAGGAAGAGTATTTATGGTACATATACCGCGCTTCGAATCCTTGAGGGGAGCGCGTATAAATTGGTCACGGTTAAGGTTGGCTTATTTATAACAAAACCATTGGCTTAAAAGTGGCCGAGCGCGAATTTATCGCTATATAACGGAGGGAATGAGATGTCGGTGTTGCGATAAAAAGTGACGCGATGGATCTTCCTTATCTTATTCTTGTTACGCGCGTTTTATCGGAATTTTTCACGATACAGAAACATCCCCACGTCTGTTTGCTCGAGTTGAGAATTACACGTGAGCGTGCGACGAGGACGAATGTGAAGCGCGAAACTCGAGACGCGAGACAGATAAATCGGAGAACGAGCAATATCGACGAGTAAACGGACATCTGCAAATTATCGCGGAATAAGGACACGCGGGTTTTTCATTCATTTAGCGAAGATAAATTACAAACAGCACATCCGTGCTCCGTCCGTGTTAACGAGTAAATGGATTAGACGGGACAATGGACAAATGTAAAGTCGAATAAAAATGGAGGATGCCGACGACGGTCAGATGGAAAGTGTTTCATGAGAGACTTATTGCCACGTGTCGGTTGGGCCAATAGATATGCGAGTGTATCGATCGCCATGCTATCGTATAATCGACGATTGAATGAATTAACGTGGATCATTTATATACATATCTCTTTTCTCAAGCGCGCTCTCTCCTCCCTCTCTCCCTCTCTCTCTCTCTCTCTCTCTCTCTCTCTCTCTCTCTTTTCTTTTCGTTTCTTTTTTACCGTCTCCTTCCTCCTCATCCGTTTACCTCCTCCCTTTCTCTTCTTCGTCGATCGTTTATCGTCTCTTTTGCTCGCTCTTTTTGATACTCTGGCCGGCTCGCGCGCGGACACGGCACGCAGCCAGCGTGGAGCATTAAATTCAATCGGAATCTATTTTTTCCGCTGCCACGCCGGCGCGGACAAATTGTGCTGCTCACACATGCCGGTCGGCATATTTAATCTGTTATTTAGGAGCCGCGAGCCCGATTCGCGCGGCCAGACTAGGGCGTTGTTGATGAAAAAGTGATGACATTTGTACAGTTTCACGAGCGCGTTCATTTGTCAGTCGTCATCTACTCATTCATGATTGGTTAAAACATGAAACAGTCACGGGCACATGGACGCGTGTACATGACGCGGCTCTCGCGGGAATAAAAGTGAAGCGAGTGCTCTTAACAAGGTCTAAGAGCGAGAAACATTTGTTTTCCAGCGAGGCAAAAGTACGTCTTATGTTACGCGTAGAGATAATCTTTCGCTTCGTAGCTGGAAATGTTTCGACGTGCAGAATTTCCTTCTTTTTCTCTTCCCGCTGCACGTTCTCCCTGTAGCTTCGAGCAAGCGCTCGCTCACGACTTGCCCGCCTCGTCGACTTTTAATTATCAACAATGCGATCGCGGAAACTACAAAAAATTCGTGATAACGGAGCGTCTTCAATGTTGCGCAGCGTGTAACACGAATATCGTCTGCCTCGCGCGCGACGGGAGAAGAACGCGTGAGTCTTACAAAACGACGCTTTGAAATCCTAGACATCGTAATCTAAGCAACACGGCCGGTGACAACTCTGAAATTTAATGAAATCCTTGAAATTCGATCGATTAATTTGTGCCGGCCGCGCTAAATGTGCGCGCGGAAACGTCGTATAACGCGATACGCCCGCGTAATATCCGCTCGAATAAACCTTATGTTGTTGTCGCGTTAAATTAATTTTCATTGAAATGCGGGAAACGCGCGGTGGGTGTCCGCTTTCTAAACTGAGCGACGATTGCGCGACGAATAAAGCGACATGATCGAGCGATCGGATTAAAACCGACGTAAATCCGAGACCACGGATATTCGGATTACAATCATTACCACCGAGAAAATCCGGGGGAATTTGTTATGAGGGAGGAATTTCTTATTAGACATAATAATGTAATCAAAGTATCGTGCTTTTACGCAGCGCGCGGTATCGAAATCTTGGCACAATTTCTAACATTGTGCAGCGGAGTCGTAGAAATTTCTCTCTTAGAAAAATGCGGGATAACGCTGGTAGTTTTAATATAATTTGTAGGAACAGCTGTTTACATATATGCCGCCGAAGAAATGATTGCTTGTACAAACTTAGAGAATTGCATCGAGAATTCAGAAATGTTAATCGAGTCTCCGAGCGAACACTTTTGTTTTTTAAGGCACAAGCGGTCAAATGTAGATGACTTCTTGCAAATTACGTAGCCACAGTAGTCACAACAGCGTGAATAATGATATCATAATTTTTTTATTTAGTTTCAATGGAATTTTATACTTTACTTAAACAACAATTTATTACTTGAGCGCTCGATAAGGAAAATTGAGAAAGATGCTGAAAATAGCATTCAAAAAAATTTTTGCTAAAAAAATTTTAAATTGTAATTGCAAAATCCACATATGACTGTATAATCTCTCATTTTTTCCGTATTATTTATGAATATTTCTAAGCCTGTTATTGTGCCAAACGGATAATTAAAGATTACCATTCCGGACAGTTTCACGCGTATTGTCTGCAAATAAAATTAAAGTATTGTTTACAAATCACATTCTCGCGTAATGTTATAGTAATTTATCGTAACTTATCGTAACGAGCTGTGATGTGATCTTGTAATACTGCTAATGGCCACGGCGTGATATCTAGATCGTAAAATGGGTGTAAAAAACTGTGACGCTAATTAGCCGGCCAGCTTTCGCGTGATCGATTAAATAGCTCCATCCGATAATAGTTATCAAGGAAATTGTGGAAGATACCGCGAATAATTAATCTATAGAGGGGCGTCGCGCTGAACGCTGAACGGATAATAAATGTGCGTTTGATAAAGATCAGTCGTGATTTTTTAATTTCTTGCGAAATTTTCTTCCATATAATTTTCTATCCGTTCGAGCGAATGAGACAAAATTAAATTGGCTCGAATGAAATATCAAGTGAAAAGTTTGCCACGTACAAAAATTAACGATCATACGTTTACTGTCTTAAAGTTCTTCGTGAATCGTCTCGCTTGGCGAACTAAAACGCGCGATTGAATATTTAAAATATTCTACGAGCGCCTTCGTGTTCCTCCGGCGATTCTCAACGTTACGATCGAATCGATCAAAGCATCATGCTGCATAGAAGGACGTCTCGAGCTCTCGTCCGAGACAATTAACGAGGCTGATGGGCGTCTGAAAATTCTGACGACCCGCCTCAACGTCGTACGTGTAGATCGATCCCGACATTATTCCTCGAGAATGGTCGTTGGCCGTGCCGCTTCATAAATCGCTCGATTTATCGTTGCTGACTCACCGCGATCCGTTCGCGGCGCACTGCTGCCCGCAAGGGGTATCCACCGACCCCACCGGCACAGGTGAGCTATGGAGAAGCCAGACCTCGAAAATTGTCGAGGATATCCTGCACGATAATCACGGACATTACGTCCATAATCGAGCGACAAAGTAGCGTCGCTCGTCCTTCCTGATATCGAATATTGTTGATCATTTTTATCTGTTGACGGATCTCTGCCGCCGCGGCGAGGATTATTGATAAATTTGCATTCCATTGCGGCTGCAATGTATGCAATATTACTTTATACTCTATTTCGAGAAAATCGACGCTTTCTCCTAGTTCGTCTCTACATTTTTCGTTTACGAACTCTCTTGAATCAGGGAGAAACGCAAACTTTATCTTTAATACAAATATCCAATGCATCGATCTTAAAATTTGCAGATGGGAAAGTTATGAGTTGTTACGAATTAATCGAGAATTTCAGAGTGGCAAACAGAGATGGAAATTTTTTCCCGTTTATAATTTCAAATTCACTTTACTCTTTAACAAAGTCTTGATTTATTTTATTATATAATTTTCTGAATACATTAAAAATGTTACGAATCTGCGGAAGAAGATAATATCCAATCAAATTTTTACGTTACTCTAAATGAAAGGAAATACGATGAATCTGGAACGTGTTATATTTTGTTTTCGAATGAAAATAGGTTATCAAGTAATATTGCATAGATGTGGTGAAAACATTCAAATTTGCTTCAGATTGTAAATATGTATCGTAATTAAATTATAATATATATTTATAGAGACACGCGTGCTTATTATACACGGGGGGAAAAAAGAGACATATAATTAATAAATACGGATAAATACGTCCACGTCGTATTATCTCCTTTAACATGTTGTTAAACATGCTTGTTAGGAACTAAAAATATAACTTTAACCTAGATCTTGCTCGTAAATCGGAACAAAATGTGTACATCCGTCGTCACGAAGACATCTCCAAGTCAATCTCTGAATATTTCTCATTAAAAGTTACACGTATATAGTAAAAAAGGAAAAGTATACTTACATTGAAATCAGTACTGCATTTTACAAGATCCGGAGGATGGCCGGAGTATAGCTTCAAAGATTGCAGCAGACCCTTTAAATAAATAGCCAGGAAATAGTAGACTATCGTACGGCATATAGGGTTCATTGTCTTGTTTCACGAGTCTCGTTTCTGCTTTTCCTTTTCTTCCTCTTGCAAGGAATACTGTTCCCATTAAAGCTCTTTTATTGCGAAATATTGAACTTTAAAACATAGCATAAATATAATGAAGAAACGGATTATACGCGGATATCGTGTGTAATCGAGTATTAAGAGGGCTCTTTCTCTTTTTCTGCAAGAATACTTTATCGACGTCATTCATCGTATCAGAGCAGCTAATAATAATATAATAGTAAATAGCATAAATATCTCAAAAGTTAGGATTGATACGTTCCGCGCGACCTGCAAACACGCTGCGCGACCCGTGTGTCGCCTCGCTTTTCCTGAATGAAGAATGGCTTGATTCGATCAAACGTTACGACACAAGTGAATACACATGCATAGCAGTCCGGTGAAAAAATACAGACTGACTTTTAAACACATGCGCGACGAAATAACGCGTTTACAGGCGGTGTCCACTAAATCTTCGTCTGTGCGCCGCTAAGATTATAGCAATTTATGTTTCTCATATTTTTCAATACACAATACTGGAGAAAATCGGTGATTTATCTCCGCGCGCAGGCAACGATTCCAGTCTTCTATTTTGGAAAAAGGAACCGGCATACTGGGACGGTGCATCGATCATTCTGAAAGTGTTCACGGGATCGATCGATCTTTCTAAATGGCCCGCAGTAACGCGCTTTACGGTGCATTTTACGGTTTTCGGTCGGTGCAAAAGCTGTTTCTTTTTTCTCCCACCGGCCGTGTTAGTCTGCTGCAGTCGTAATGCTTTTTTCGTTCTCGAAACAACTGCCGCGGATTTGTACAGTTGAAAAGTCGCTCGGAGTTGTACCGCGCCGCGGCAGCGCTCGTCCATACTTTTCCACTTTATTATCGATAAAACGTTTCGTGAGAATAAAAGAGAAACGACAAATGCGCCGGTACAACGAGTCATTATTATGTCAGCGTTTTAACTAACGGGTGTGAATATCTTTTTTAAAATTCGGAGAAATGCATGAGAGTGTAAAATAATTTCTTTTTGCCGTAATTTGCATGTGCAGAAGCCCGCTAAAATACGCTCCGAATTTTCTGACGCTGCTAAGCGTTCTTTTATCGGGCGGATAAATGGAAAATTCATGATTTTTAGCCGTAACGCACATCATCATTTCGGTCTACTGTAATTTTGCAAGTTACCGCGCGAGAGAGGTGAAAATCTCTTTAACTCGACCACTCGACACTTCATTAACAAATATTCTTTTTATATTTCTCAATTAAATTTTTATTATTTAATCATTTAACAATTATTTAATCATTTGTTAGATTATTAAACATTACGTCCTGCCACTAGCGGGATGTAAAATTTATCGGTTGCGAAATCGATGTTTCATGCATTCAGGATTAATTCTTTTCACAATATAACACACTTGCACGACGAGTCGCGAAGTAATACGAAAACGTCGAGCATTACGCACTAATAATTCCAATCACGATCGATTGACTCCCTCCCTCGATTTTCGACTAGCTCCACTGCGAACGTTCTGCACGAGATGACCGAGGATGACTGTGTTGTAGCACGTTAGTCGTCTCGGAAGCTAAGGCCTGCTTCCACAAAGCGTGGGAGAGAGGGGGATGTCTGCTCGTGCGAGTCGTTTACACACGCATTCGTTGTGTGTAAAATCTGAAATCGCGCATTCGATACACGTTCGATATTTTGAACGCTTCCATTTTCGTCGATACTACGTAATTTCAACGGACGTATATTATGTGTACGCGAATGATTGTTATACAGAAGTGACGCGTGAGGTCTGTTTCCGTGTATCGTGCTAAGAATAATATAGATCCGAGGCAGGGAAAAATTAAAACTTTGTGGTCGAGTGAGAGCGAGAATAAATTGCCGGGTCTAAAAAATTAATTATGTAATAGTTGTGTTATATATACCGCGGCTGTAAAAATAACCAACGGGCATTCCCTAGTGAGATTATTATGCTAATTTATCATCAGTTTTGCGCGTGTACGTGTGTGAAAGTTTTAAAAATTAGATTTCACCCGTTAATATATTAATTCTACGCCGTAAATTCGATCTCTTAGGCGTGATATATGTTATATAATGACACGAATGATTTATTCCCCGGAGGGAAAGGTAATTTTGTATACAACGTCGTGTGTCATCCTCTTAATCACCTCGAAAACAGAGTTGGATGCGTGCTAAGTCAGATGCTGGACCGGTCACGGCATCTATATATCCGATTATGACATCAGAAACGAGAGTTCGCACGTAAATTTTCTCTTGCGACATACAGACGGAATAACTGAATTTTTTCGCGTGCTCCATCCATACGTTTTGCATTCGTATTTGCCGAGAGATGTAGACTCGGCATGGCAAACTACGCTCGGATCCCACGTTGTCAATAACGATCGGGCTGCTTTTTACAACGGATAATTAGACTCGATACGCCGAGCTAACGACGTAAAGCGGCATTGATAAGAACAAACGCGTCGAAAGGAAGCATACTGCACATCTCGCGATATTATTTACTTCATGGTTCGTCCGAGAACACCGCGTTGTAAGCGCGAGCGCTCCATTATACTCCGCTTTAATTTATTAGGTCAACGCCAATTATTTTGCTTAGGTGGAAAGAATATGCGGCTGTCGGCCGGTGTTAGACAAATTTAATCCCGCGCCTGAGAAGAGCCTGCAGCGCGCGGATTGAGAGCGGAGATAACAAGAATAAGCTTAATTTTCGTCGAGTTATTAGAGCACGAGGAGAGAGAGAGAGAGAGAGAGAGAGAGAGAGAGAGAGAGAGAGAGAGGAAGGAAGGGTAGAATCGAGTTAGCCGAGCGCGTGTGCCGCGAGGATTATTGTGCGGCCTCCAAAATCCGTAGCGCGAGCCGCGCGATTAAATATTTAGAAGAATTTTCCGGGCGTATCAGGCTCTCTCTCTCTCTCTCTCTCTCTCTCTCTCTCTCTCTCTCTCTCTCTCTCTCTCTCTCTCTCTCTCTCTCTCGTGTCCTGATCATGCTTTATATATAGGCAGAGCTTCTCGTTGCAGCTGCCCACTTCAAAAGAGCTCGGGCAGAGAGCGAGAGGGAGTATCACGGAAAAGTCCGTGAAACTTTAACAGCGTCTTAAATACTTAACTCCCGCCCGCATCGGTTCTAAACTTAGCGACGGAATCGCTGTAACCGCTCCACTTACAAATAACCCTCATTTTCGAGATATCTGTAATATCATCGCTCACACACGGTGTGTGTTGCCGTTGCGACGGGCTACGGCCAAGGCGACGCTAGAAGCGATCGCGGCTTTTAGTAGGTCGGATGAGAGTACGAGGGCGAGGAAAGGAGAGAGCAACCATTCTTGTTTTTATTCATTCGAGCCTCGAAAGTTGCAAACAAGGGTAATAGAGCGCGTTCGTTTATGCTCGAGAGTCAGCTCATTATCCAGTAACTTTTCCGCGTTGACCGTGTGTGTATCGGTTTTGTAAATTCTGCCCCTAATATTGAGAATCGTTATTGACCGAGCGGTGATATCTTGAGCGGTGTGTGTCACCAGCGCGAAAACATCGCGACAACACCTCTACAAATAACCGGGAAACAAAATCGTTTGGCCGCGTTTCGCGTCGTGTTCATTTATTATTCGGCATCGTGCTTTTAAAGTGAGCAAAGGTCACGTGCAAAATTGCAAAAAGAATTATTTACACGAAGTGCGCGGACTCCATGTTATCGCCCCTCCCCCCCCCTCCCCGTACTTCAATTTTCGAATAAGTGCTCTTCCGCTGTTCATTTTTGCTTAACGCTTGATTCTTCGACGAGCGATCCGTGTTATGACGAAATTTGATGTGATTTTAATTGAAACGTATCGCGATTAACAATATGAACAAAAACGTATTACGCGTAAATTCGTATCAAAGTGGAATAAACACGCGCATGCGAGCTTGTGATGGTAAAATATCCAATTACCGATAGAAAAGTGACTTGAAATAATTCTGTTGATGGAAACGAGTATCTATGCCGCGCGGAAGCGCGCCGCACTAACGAATAGGTTAATTTCGACGCCAAGTAAAATATCCGCATCAGAGGGAACGTTTTAATGTTACGCATACAACTGATTACAATGGTAAATGTCAGTCTGTAACGTGTTCGGGCACGAGAAGTGCATTCATCTGGATTAACCTAAATTATGGTTCACACATGTATTTCGAACTGCATTATGCTCGACAATACTGATTGCTATTTAGGCGAGAAGTGATCGCACCGATGGCAGGAGCGTCAAACGACGAAAGTAATGCGTTCGATCGAGTCCAACTGAATTGCATATTTCCGATTTACGTATCGGCTCAGCGACCTCGGTCGAGCTGTTTGAAATTATAAATGGACCAACTTCACATCAACTGAGCTCGTTTTTGCCGCCTCTCGCCGTGAGAAGCGCGATTTCTCTCAACCGCGGCTTTCTGCCACAAACTCGCCAAGTTGGATTATTTTCCCGGCTCGACCTACTGTGTCATTTCCTCGAGCTCGGCCGAGAAAAAATAATTGGTGAGTATTAATTGAGTCGCGTTGACATCGTGATGAGATCGCGTTATATTTGCCGGGCGGATCCGCGCACAGATAAATTTGGTCGTCGGTGAAAGCCGAGAGGTGGAAGCTGGACGGTCAACCAGAGCTTATTTCGTTAACCGGTGGTGCAATTGCCATGGATAATACCTCGGCATGCCTCGGAGACACGGCATTCCGTGCTTGACCCGCTAAATGCATAATTTTACAGGCAAACAAATGCCGGCTTTTAATAGATGTGTATTGTCCTGACAGCGTCGTGCGACGCAAACAAAGCTCCCCCCCCCCTCTCTCTCTCTCTCTCTCTTTCTCTCGTTCTCTCTCGCCCTTTCCGTCTACTCTTCTCCCTTTCCATCCTCTCTAATCCCGCGAGCCTCGAGCCTCGAGCCTCGAAATGCAGTGA